TAGTAGTAGTAGTAGTAGTAAAAAGTAAATGGTAAGAGTAATAGCAATAATCATAGAATTGATAAAAGTAATGGTCACAGCAATACTAGTACTGACTCGAAGGCTGACATTCTCAGTTCCTTGAGGTTTAATGTTGGGGGGAGGGGATTAATACATGCTGCGCAGGCTATGTAGTCCCGGATGTCAGCAAAGAATCTTGAGATGTAGGTGCGCCCCTCCCAGTACCTGAAGGGACTGTGATGGCTCATCTTATGTGCATGATGGCATGGGACACATCGCACCTGGCATTGGCCTGGTTTGCGCGGAAAATCAGAAGGAAGGACCTGATGAGCTTGAGTCGGACACTAAACCCGCACCCTCCATCAAGCCGAGCAGCATGGTCCCACCCAGCATCTGAAGATTCTTCTGGCTCTCTCCCGACATCTTGAACCGCCAGTGCTGCCTCAACTGGGTTTTGGGTTTTGGGTCTACAGTGGGTTTAGGGTTTGGGGTTTAGGGGGTTAGGGGGTTGCTGCTAAGGAACTTAGGAAGAAAATGGAAAATGAAATGGAAACGGGTGGAATGTAGGGAATTAAGGACCTTGATTCAACTTACTAGATTAAGGAAACCCCATTATTTACTATATACCCCTATTATGAGAACTTAATTCCAGTTCCCTAACAGCAACCCCGTCAGTGCGTCAACTTCGCTCATCGGCTGCGTCTGCGCGGTCGGGTGCCTGGGCTCCCCTGCCAGCCAAGGAATTCGTAGAACCCGTACACCACCAGGACCTGAAGGCACATCGGAAGCATACCTTGATGTTTCTCATTGTTGTTACTATTGTTAGTGTTGTTATTATAGCTATTATTGTTATTATTGCCATTACTGATATTACTGTTACTATTGTTATTACTATTATTTTTTAATCAATGTTGTCATTATTGCCTTATGCTTGCTGGATGCTTGCATTACGCTTGGCGTGATGCTTCCCTGCTTGAGGCCAAAGTGCCAGGAAAAGAATCCGGTACCAGACGACCGGCAGCACGCTGCCGCGCCAGCGGAAGATGACCTGCGTTGGAAAAAGCTCAGTATTTTCTAGCTATAATAGATTATCATATATTATGGTATATTATGATATATTATAGTATGTTATAGTATGTTATAGAATATTGCAGTATATCATACTATATTATAGTATATTATAGTACATTATAGCATAATATAATATAGTATAATCGATGATCAGGAAAGGGAGGATGGTTGAGTACAACCCTAAACCCTAAACCCTAGCCAAGGTGGCCTTAAGCCAACTCCGATCGTCGTAGATGATCATGCCGGGAAAGCGGTGCTCAACGGGAACAGGAGGCCCTGGGGCCCATGGTAGGAGTGTAGGGGCTTTGGGACTTTAGGGGTTTAGGGTTTTGGGTTTTGGGGGTTTAAGGTTTAGGGTTTAGGGGTTTAGGGTTTAAGGTTTAGGGTTTAGGGTTTAGGGGTTTAGGGTTTTAGGAGTTTTGGGGATTTAGCTCCGCGCCTGGCAACACGTTCCATGGCTGGCAGAGGAAGGCCAAGCCCGAACCCTCGCCGCTGGAGCCCAGATTCCTATAAGAAGCACAAACTTCTGACGTCTGCGAGCGATGAAAATTATAGTAACACTAAGAGTAATACAAGTAATAACAGTTTAATAATGGTATTAGCAATAGTAATAATAGCAAGAATAGTAATGATGTCTGCGAGTGATAACAAAAACCATAACTGCCATAAACTAAGAGTAGGAGTCGAAAAATACCAACTCAGTAAGAACATTAGCAATAGTCATAATCATAGTCATGGTAGCAATAGTAATAGAATAATGTGATCATAGGCCCACTTGGGAGCCACGCTCAGAAAGCTTTTCTGGCTGGGCAGAGGTCCACAAAGCTTGGATCACGTAGGGTTCACCGCTGGGGCCTGGCCATACCCGGGCATGCCTTGCCCAGGGGCAGGCTGTGAGCTTTTCGGCGGTCAGGGCTCTCATGGGCAGCTGCTCCACTACTGCCAGAAAGCTTCTCAAGGGCACTGCACAAAGAGATGCATGTTGAGCCTTCAAGTCCGCTCAATTGCGGGATTGGGCGTTCGCAGGGACGGCAAGACATATGAGGCTGACATGAGCTATAGTCGAAACTCCTAGTATCCCCCGTAATAACCCCAATAGTACTCCCCTGTATAAGCCCCCTTTCAGGAGTTTAGACTCTAGCTCATATATGTCATCGCTCTCAGGTCGGTGTACATGCTGACCTCGGCTATCGCCGTGGCACGTAGCCTCCAGCCCGCCAAGTGCAACATGGACTTCAACCCGTCTATACAGATACAGGCTCTTGTGGGCTCATGTGAGCTATAGTCTCACCTCTTTAAAGGGAGGGGTTATGTAGGGGGACTATGTAGCGGACTACTATAGGGGTCACTAACGGGGATGCTAGTTACTACGAGTTTAGACTGTAGCTCATGTGGCCAAACATCAGGTTGCCTCGACGGCCCGGGAATCTGGGAAGAGGTCGATGTCCGATGTGCGGCTTGCAAGCACCTGGGCCGCTATCGGGATGCTGTGGAACCTGCCACATGAGCTACAGTCTAAACTCCTAGAATCCCCCTAAATAGCCCCTATAATACTCCCCTATAGAATCTCCCTATGTAATCCCCTTGAAGGAGCTTAGACCATAGCTCACGTGTTCTTGGAACCTTGTCACCGATCAAAGCGAATCTCCCAGCACTCCACGAAGGGATGATCAAACCTGCAGCAAACGAATGCAGATGTGGTGATCTTGTTCTTTCTTCCCTTGCAGTTCTACTTGAAAGAATGCAGGGTTCTTGGCATAATAAGCTGACAGGTGCGCAAGGATTGAGTCTCATACTTTGTTGCACTATGTTGCATTATGTTGCACTGACATTGAATGCAACAAGCTGCTGTTTCTTTGTAGGCTCAAATCTCAAACTGTCTCATCGGCAAGGTCACTACTCGCCTCAGTACCTTTTGTGTTTTGTGTGTTCTAGCGAGTAGGGGCACTACAGCTGACATGCCACGAGACTTTCGGCCGCATCATCCACACGATAGACCGGCCATCTGGAACATTGCCATGAGCCACTTGAAATCCTAGACAATGAATTCTTGAGACTACCGTGATGAAGGTAGTCCTCACAGCACATCAAACCCTAAACACTGAAAAGTAGTTTCCATTTTCTTTTCCATTATCCCTATATAACCCCAACCCTAAACCCTAAACCCTAAACTATCCCCATATAATCCCTATATAATCCCTATATTCCCCCTATATAATCCCTATATTCCCCCTATAATACTATAGTAAGGCTGCGGATGTTCTCAGCTAAAGCCGGGCTGTCGGCTCTTTGGGTGGCGAGATCCCGAAGGAGCACACGGACACGCCTGGCCGGGGAGGGCACCAGCAAGCCGCACATAAGGTTTAGGGTTTAGGGTCTAGGGTCTAGGGTTTAGGGTTTAGGGTAATAGTAAAACTAATGATAGTAATAAAAAATAGTAGTAGAAACAATAATAGAAATAATTTCAATAAATAGTAATGATGAAAGTCAGAATAATGAAGGTAATAATAGTGAAGGAACAGTTACATTGGGATACTGGAAAAGAAAATGGACCCTACTATAATGGGTTATGTAGGTTTAGGGATAAACAGGGTTAAGGGTTTAGGGTCCGGGGCTTAGCTTTCAGAGTGCTTAGAGTTCCGGATGCCACGAAGCCACGTTACTCCCTGTGTTACTGGCTGCACATCTTCTGCAGCTACGTCGCCCTGAAAGTTAATTATTACTTGTTGTATAAGGTTATACTTAGGAGACCGATGGGAAGGCGAAGCATGGCTCAAATCACCCCTAAACCCTAAACCCTGAATCACTGTTACCGTCGCACAGAATTTTTTTCTACCACTGTTACCCTGATTATCTGATTACTGAAATTTCATGGACCAATACCATTAATATTAGCAATACTTAACAGAAATAGTACTACTAATAATACAAATACTAGAGGGACCTAACTAAATAAATACCAACATCATTTTGAAGTCCACTTGGGGTACAATAGACCATAATTATATAAGGAATATGGGACCATGATACTGGTTATTTATTTAGGCCCCGATATTAACGGTAATAATGCTTTCTACTGCGCCTGAGTCCAGAAGCGCCCGGCGAAAGCTGCATCGGCCTCTGCTATCCGACAGTGCGATGCCTGGCTTCGCGTCGCGCACTGGGGCGCAGTAGCCACCTCCGCTCATGACTGGCCTTTGGTTAGTATAATATAGGGTTATTTATGGATCATGGACAACAAATGGGAGCTACTATTTAGGGCTTAGGGCTAACCTTTGGGTAGCTGGGGATGAAGGAATGGAAGCGAAAATGGAAACTAGTAGAGGGTTTAGGGTGTAGGAGGAATGGAAATGGAAACGTACATGGAGACTACCATAATCGGTTTTCTACGGACTACTGTAAGGATCCATTCCTTCTTTCGAAGCTAACCCAACGTCAGATGAACCGGAACGTTGGTGAGTGACAGGATGTATATTCATGAACACGATGTATAGCCTGTATAGCCAATAAGATGGCGGAAAACAACATCAACATGCCAGCATAGGATGTGGACCATCACCTGAAAAGCGTTTAGGGTTTAGGGAGATACTGGAAGCAGTGATAATACTCCGAGGAGCTGCATACAAACGACTGACTCCACGTAAGAGGTGACAAGAAGCGGCCTATGCAGAAATTCTGCTGATGCTTGTGGACCACCAGGAAGCCTGCAGACGGCCACCAGATCGCAGCAATACCAGAAGATAGTTGTCCAAAGGAGGTTGAAATATGATGACAAGAACTACAATCCTCACGACCACAACCAGGTTGATAAGAAGAATACCAATTGTCATGATGATGAGGAGGAGGCGGAAGAGGACAATAAGAATAGCAGATCGCAAAAACACACCAACCAAAAAACGGCCTTCGAGGCGCGGGCAAAGGCGGCTGCCTGGCGTCAGTGTGCGTCGCTTTCCCTTGGTAAGCTGGGTTGCTGTTCAGGAACTTGACTTAAGTTACTGTAGGAAGGAAGCCCTACCCCGTAATATGGTAATCTACAACTTAAACCCTAAACCCTGAACCCTAAACTCTATACACCCACATCATGGTAACTTGATTTAAGTTACTTAACAGCATCTAAACCCCAAACCCTAAAACCCCTAAACCCTAAAACTTAAACCCTAAATCCCTAAACCCTAAACCCTAAACCCTGAATCCTTAAACCCTAAACCCTAAACCCAGTAAACTGGCAGCTGCTCGCCTCGAACAGCCTCCAGCAGGCCCAAGAACTGCTTCTGGGACTCCCTCGGGCGTTCTGGGAGGTAAAAAGTCTTACTGCGGTTATAGAAGGGAAGTTTAGGGTTTAGGGCTAGGCGTGTATATATGTGTGTGTATATATATATATATGTATATATATGTGCGTGTGTGTATTTATGTGTCTATATATAGAGAGAGAGGGCTTCTAGAGTTAAGGGTTTAGGCCAGAAGCCCTACCCCCTAAACCCTAAACCCTACACACACATGCATATATATACACACAGATGGACCCTATCTTCCCTACTCACCCCTATATAAACCCTATATAACCCCTATATAACCCCAATATAACCCTATATATCCCCTATATAACCCCTATACCCCTATATACCCGCAATATAGCCTCTATATAACCCCACTATATCCCCTAGGAGTAAGCAAAGGGCTCCGAGATGGCGGGCTCCACCGCGAGGACGACGTGGGCGCCGCGGAGCACTGCGGCGCCGCGCGGATCGGAGCCAGGCTCCGCCCAGTCGAGGCAGCCTCGGGAGCCAAAATTTGAGGTAATACCATTTGGGTTTAGGGTTTAGGGGTTTAGGGATTTAGGGTTTAGGGTTTAGGGTTTAGGGTTTGGGGTTTAGGGTTTAGGGTTAATATGGGAGTTTCTCAAAAAGGGGGGGCCCTAGGGACCCCAAGGGGTATAGAGGGATTATAAGGGATTATATAGGGCCCCCTTAAGGGATTATATAGGGGTTATATTGAGAAATACCCATATCATTTGTATTAGGGTTTAGGGTTTAGGATTAGGGTTTTTAGGCTTTAGGGAATCTAAATTCCATAAAGGGATATGTATATGTCAGGAGCTAAATCTGAGGTAATACCATTTGTATTAGGGTTTAGGGTTTAGGAGGGTTTCGGGTTTAGGGTTTAGGGATTTAGGATTTAGGGTTTAAAGTTTAGTATTTAGGGATTCAGGGTTTAGGCTGTAGGGCCAAATTTGAGTTCATACTATTACTATTCTTTTTGAGGCACCTCCATTATTATTAGGGTTTAGGGTTTAGGGTCTAGGGAATCTAAACTCCATAAAGGTATATGTATATGTGTAGATATATAGATATAGGGTGTAGGGTTTAGGGTTTAGGAGGACCCCCCACCCAGTAACAGTGAGTATAAGGGAGAATGGTGACTATATTCGGGTCCTCTTATGTTCCTACTATACCACTATGACAGGGTGGGGGTCCACCTAAGCAATAGCAATGATTATCTTAGTTAATAATAATGGTACTACCATTCATCTGCTTACTAGTACTGTTAGTACTCTTACGCCTGGTTAATGATAATCATCCATATCATTGCCAATCTTATTACTGTTTAGGAATATTAACGGCTAATAGTATGGCTGGTAATCGTTGTTATTGTCATTGATATGATGAGAATGATACGGATGATAAGGACAACATATATATATATATAGGTATACTCGATCGATGGAAAAGTATGTTATGGCACATAGGACTCTAAGACGTTCTGCTCATAAGGGCTTCGCCGCTCTTACTCCATGGCCCTCGCACACCCATCATGATGAACTTGTTGTTCTGTGTTAGTCTGATGTTCGTAGTTCAACATATTGCATACCCAGTTGCAGAAGGTGGCGCTGCCCGGTGGCCTGAGACACCCACACGCAGCAAAGAAGGAAACTCAACAGAGGATAGAATTTCCCATGTCCTTTTCCATTTGATTTTCCATTCCTACAACAATGTTAGACCCTAAACCCTGACCTCTAGGCTCAGAATCCGGTTACCTTGTCCTGGAGGGCCGTTGTATTTCCACTGCGATGCTCTTCACAAAGCTCTTCTAGCATGGGCTGTTGGCACTTGAAGTTGCGCTACTGGCGCACTTCGTGAGATAACTTGCCTTTTCCGGGGGAAGTGCGAGAGAAAGGACCTCTGCTTTGTGGGTTGGCCCCTAAAACCCTTTGAAACATATTAGTATATAGGGTCCCTTATTAAAGCCATTAGGGAAAATATTAAATATCCCAGGGGCCTGCCCAGCTTTTTGACCTATTTCAGAAACTTGGAACTTTGTGCCCCTCTTGGCGTGGACTCGTTGAGACCTGATTGATGGATACTTTAAAACTTAAGCTTGGCGCAGGAGCTGCCAAGATAGACCCCAAAATAGAATAATCCTTATTATAGGGACCCCCAAAAAGGTACCCCTAATTTTAGGAAACTCTAAACCTATATGTCCCTACAGTGCCCTTACATAACCCCTAATTGTATCCCTACAGTACCCCTATCTAACCCCCTAATTGTATCCCTACCCTAAACCCTAAACCCTAAACCCCTAAACCCTAAACCCTAAACCCCTACAGTACCCCTATATAACCCCCTAATTGTGGAACTTAAGCTCGGCCAAGGAGCTGGATGTGCGGGCCGGAAGTCAAGATGGAGGCTGTGGCCGTCTCCTCAAACGCCTGGGTTGCTGTTAAGGAGCTTAAATTAAGTTACCATAAATGGGTTTAGGGTTTAGGGTTTAGGGCTTAGGGTTTAGGGTTTAGGGTTTAGGGCTTATGGTTTAGGGCTTAGGGTTTAGGGTTTAGGGTTATGGGTATATATAGTGATTAATATGATTCCCCCAATATAGTAACTTAACTTAAGTTCCTTTAACAGCAACCCAGACGCAGCCACATCCGTCAAAGTCACCTGCGCGCCCAAGTTGGCCAAGACCAGCCCGGCCTCAAAGCAATGCGCATGCAGCTTACTACTGGGTTGCTGTTAAGGAACTTCGCTTAAGTTACACCCTAAACCCTAAACCCCTTAGGGTTTAGGGTTTAGGGTTTTGGGTTTAGGGTTTTGGGTTTAGGGTTTTGGGGGAATCTATTAATTGCGATGTATACCCGTTATGGTAACTTTATTTGTTCCTTAACAGCAACCCAGACTAAGGCCAAGCCAAAGATGCTAAGGCCGAAGCATAGCCGGTGCCGCAGCCGAGCTCCACAACAGCGCGGCCCCCTGAGTTCAGCAGAGGGATTGGGGTCAGAATATAGGTATGCGCTGAGGAAATATTAGGGGTTATATTAGGGTTATCTATTGGGGTTTTATTCGAATTATATTGGGGCCTATATTAGGGGTTATATTAGGGCTCTATCAAGGCTTGTATTAGGGGCTATATTAGGGGTTATATTAGGGTTATATCAGGGTCATATTAGGGCTCTATTAAGGGCTATATGAGGGTTATATTGGGATTATATAAGGGCTATGTTAAGGGATATATCTGTGAGTTCCCAGTGGTGAAAGCCGAGGAGCTCCAAAGCTCGGAGGGCACAGCCATTGCCTGAGGTCTTCAGGACGTCAGGAGGTGGATGTGTGGCGTCGCGTGGCTGCAAATACTAGAATATAGTATGATTTACTATATTCATACTATAATGATATATTATACAAGTATAATATAGTATATTCATACTATAATGATATGTTATACAGGTATAATATGGTATGTTATTGTAGATCATAGCGATGACTTTTTGCTGCAAAGCCGCGATGGCGCCGAAGACCACGGCCGCCTCGGAAGTCCCAGGCAGACCGGCAGGAGGCGCCTGCAAGGCACTGCAAGGCACTGGGAGTAGGGCAACGGGTTCACCCTAATATAACCCCTAATATAGCCCTAATATATCCTTAAATAGAGCCCTAATATAATCCAGTCACTGAACGCCTTTTTCTTTACCTTTCGCTGACAGCTTCCGGCTCATGCTCCCACTGCTTCAGCCGACCCCGAAGCAGCAAAGGTGCACCAGTCTGGGTTGCTGTTAAGGA